TAAATCGGTTCGGAACAAATGGTTTGGTTTATAAATCATAATCATAAAAATGGATTGATTCATATTAAATGGTTAGCATGCACACCCTTGTTCACAATCTTTACACCAGGTCTATTTTCAGTCCCCAATTTCTCAATCAATACCTTTTTCTATTGTCTCCATCACAAAATTATGTTTCCAACTAACATCTCGTCCACTTCACAACCCAGTTCCTCAAAACCTTCCACTTCCCCCAACACGACATTGCCAAATTTAGAGGTTGCTCATGACATGTCAATTTTCAACGAGGAACTGTGGTTAGCTGCTAGCACACCGAAGAAGCGTATCGGGAGGAAGAAGTTCAAGGAGACTCGCCACCCTGTGTATAGGGGTGTAAGGAGGAGGAACTTAGATAAATGGGTATGTGAAATGAGAGATCCAAACAAGAAGACTAAAATTTGGCTAGGAACTTTTCCAACAGCCGAGATGGCAGCTTGAGCTCATGATGTTGCAACATTGGCATTGAGAGGTTGTTACGCCTGTTTCAACTTTGCAGACTCGGCGTGGCGATTCCCCATTCCTTCCACAACCGAGACAAAATATATACAAAAGGCAGCTGCACGAGCCGTCGAAGCTTTTAGACCATACAACAAGACTTTAGAACCAGACGAGGCTTTCAGACCGGACAAGACTTTAGAACCAGATGAGGCTTTCGAACCAAACAAGACTTTAACGACTAATGACATTGACACGGCAGTAGCTTCTGCCACAGAAGAGCAACTTATGTTTTGTATGGAAGAGGAAGAAGAAGACAAAGAGTTGAGCATTCCAGAAATGCTAAAGAATATGGCATTAATATCCCCAACACATAGCTTGGGACATGAGGATGAACATAATGATGCAGACTTTGAAGACGTTGAGGTGTTACTATGGAGTTTTTCAATTTGATTTATATGTATTCTTTATAATATAAAGTTCACTTTATTTTTGGATTGCAGAATGGAAAATTGTCTGTCCTATGCTATTTTTTATTATTATTGTGCAACAGATATTCTATCTACTTATGTGGAATTGGAAATTATATTTTTTCATAGCTTTTATGAGAATGTAACTAATAAGGTATAAAGTGCATCTCTAATCCTTTTTTTATAGTATTTTCTATAAAAGGATACAAATATAAATCAACAAAAGACTACACAAGTATCACATCATAGTCATGATCATTTCAATCAAAAGGACTCACAAATGTTTATTATCCAACATCTAATCCCCTAACCAGTTCAAAAAATATAAAAGAATAATCAATATTTCATAATTTCTCAGATCCAACCAGACAATATAGTAATTCATAGTGATTTTAGAATCAAATTTTAATCTTTGCAGATCTAAGTCTGAAGAAGCTGTCAAACAAGAAGATAGAGTAATCCAAAAGCATCCTCAAAAAAACAAAACCTAATCAGAAATTAAACGTAAAACTAACCAAAATCATAATTGAGAACAAAATCAAAGTGAAAATGAATAACTAATGTCTACTAATTTTGAAATACAAACGGAGAAGAAGAGAATTAAAATTTAGGGTTTTAAACAAAAAAAATTAGGGATTCTTTGTCCTAAAAGAACAAACTGAACAAAATAAAGCAAGATGAAACTTACTCTTAGTGGAGAAGAAGATAACGGCAGTGGCGTGAGAGCTCCAGCACGGTGGCTCCATCGAAAAAACCTGGTTCGAAGTAAGAATGATAAAATGAGAACATAAATGATATATTAACACCCTGGTGTACACCTACACCGTATTTGCAAATGTTAATGTATTGGTTTTGTTGTAATTTACTTAATATACAAGGGCAATTTTGTAACTTTATAAATAACGTGTGGTTAAATGATTTTCAATGTATTTTTTTGTTTTCACATTTGATACCTCTCATCTCAAAAACCAAGGCCAAAATACTCTCTCATTTCATCGTGATCTCTCTCATCTTCCTCGTGAGCTTGTTTGGAATCGACGACCACCACGAGTAACCGGCGACCACCGTGACAGGAAGCTCGTGATCTCTCTCATCTTCCTCGTGATCTCTCTCGTCTCTCATCTTAAGGTTAGATGTTCTTACATGAAGTCTTCCATAAAAAAGTTCTGATTGTTGAAAAAGTTCTGGTTTTTCAAAACGTGTTCTGATATTATTCTCACATGAACAACACCATTTTAATTTTTTTTAAGGTTTTGAGAGTTATGTTGTTCAATAAGGGAAACTAAAAGAGGATTTGGGTTTTGGGTTTTTTCTTTTTAAGTTATTGTGATAGATTTCTCAATTCTAGGTTGTAATAGATTTCTTGTTATGTTATTGATAATGTGGTTATTTGGTTTTGGATTTTATCAGACTGAGTTCGTTATTGCTGAAACTATGGAATCACCAAGAAATCAAAATGAAAGTGATGTAAGTTTTTCTGTTTTTATTGGTTTTGTTATTCTGGTTAGAAAGTTGGATCTTATTTATCAGTGAAAGTAATTAAGTTTTTTCATGAATTTAATGTACGAATGAGGCATAGTTGTATTCCAGTGAATTTGAGCATGATCAATGAAAAGTTAACACCAGGTCAAAGAGCCCACATCGAATGCACCCCATTCAAATGGGCAATGAATATTTCTAACAACTTCTCAATCTCAAGTGGTTTATTATGGGAATTAGTAAGTAAGTGGGACGTACGAAGTAGGGGATTTAGGGTTAGGGATAGGATAGTTCCCTTTACTCCAGTTGATGTTTGTTTTGCGCTTGGATTATCTATTGTTGGTAAGTCCCTAGTAGTAGAAGAAAACCAACAAAGTCAAACATTAGATCTTTTTAAAGGGGCTGAGGTAACCATTCACAATATTCGCAAACAACTTCGTTACCAAAAGAAAAAATTAGTTAATTTTGTTAGACTTTACATATTACTTGCATTTGCGGAGTTTTACTTTCCCAAAATAGGGAATAAGGCATTTACCGGATTTATTATGCAATTGGATGATCTGGACTCACTTGATACATTTAGTTGGGGACTTGCTGTTTATAACTTTATAGTTTCTAGTTTATGTGAGTCTTCAGTTGTGTTGAAGGAGGGGGAAAACAAGGCATAAAGACATTTAAACGGGTGTGCTGCCATATTGCAGGTAAATCTTCATATATAACTCTATGGTTTCATCATGTGTTTTGAATATTAAAAGTTATGAAATTTACATCTTGTAATATTTGTTATAGATTTGGGCATTCAACCACTTATCTTTGGGGAAAGTACCTACTGTTTCTACGTTTTCATTTCCACGAGTTTTGAATTGGCGAGTTATAACTATGCAGAAGAAGAACATTGAAAAAACGTTTGACAAAAATATGGTAAGATTTTATGTGTTCGATTTGAGGAAAATAACGTTTCTGTTGTCGTGTGTTTGAATTGATTTTTTTGTTAGATAATTGATAGAGTGGTTGCAACAGAGAAGGAACTGAATTATGACATAGTCAATGCTGCTCTGTTTGAACAAGGACAATAATTTGGGAATGTGTATGATTATCAAAGATTGGTGGATGACAATAAAGATTTCAAAGAGAGGATAACAGCTCTTGAGGAGGAAGTGAGGATTATGAAAGAGGCAAGAGTTAACACTCTATTTTCAGGATGAGGATGTTCAAGATGATCGACAACTTATTAACTTTGTCACTGAAGATGCAGTAGAGACTTCGGCTGGAGATGTTGGACATAACACTCCAGTTAATGATGTTGATGCCATGGTTGAAGAAAACCTATCAAAGTCTAAATCTAACGCTACAAGAATGAGGAAGAAACCAAGGAAGCATGGAAAAAGAACTAGAATGAATTTGTAATGCATTAGTGATGTGTTGTAGTGTAGAATTTGGCACAATTTTAACGTTTCGTACAATTATGATGTGTTATAGTTCATTTTGGATTTAAGCTGTTAATGTGTTGAATATTTTGAAGTATCATTTGGTTCCCTTTTTTGGAAGTATGAAATTGCATTATTGTGTTTATGTTCATCATTTGGTTCCCTTGTTTTGAAGTCTGAATAGGCATTAACTAAGTTTGGTTTTGAAGTTTGGTTCTAGCAATGTATTAAGCAAGTCTGTGATAAAACAAGTTCCAGCAATGTATTAACCAAGTCTGGGACAAAATAATTTCCCTTGTTTTGAAGTCTGGGACTGCGTTAACCAAGTTTGACATTGTATTAACCAAGTTTCAGTAATGTATTAACCAAGTCTGGGACAATGTATTAACCAAGTTTGAGACAAAATAATTTCCCTTTTTTTGAAGTTTGGGTCTGTGTTAACCAAGTTTTACATTGTATTAACCAAGTTCCAGCAATGTATTAACCAAGTCTGGGACAATGTATTAACCAAGTTTGGGACAAAATAATTTCCCTTTTTTTGAAGTCTGAGACTGTGTTAACCAAGTTTGACAATGTATTAACCAAGTATGGGACTGTATTAACAAAATAATTTTATATATTATATACACCAACAAAGTTTAGTATAATTGTTATAATGACAAAAGTAAATTTACAATGTTGCAACATTTACACTCCAAAAGTATATTTACAATCTTGCAACATTGAACTTGAATATTCCACCTGCACCACCAAATGTAACTATTATTAGTGTATGCAATGTTTTGAACAAGATTAAAAATATTTTAAAAACCATACCATCATGTCAAATTAACCAAAATAGAATATATATATATATATATATATATATATATATATATATATATATATATATATATATATATATATATATATATATATATATATATATATATATATATATATATATATATATATATATATATATATATATATATATATATATATATATATATATATATATATATGCGACAGTCTTCCCAAAATACACATGCCACTAATCATGTCAAATTTGTACAAACTTGGGATGAACCCGTCAAGGGTGTTTCGCATGTTGTCAAAAGATCCATGAATGACATACAAGTTCCAACCTGTACAATAACATACAAAAAATCTAAAATATGACGTGTATAACTTTTAAGACTCGCTCTTTGAGTAAGTCTCTAACTAGTATCTCCTTTAACACATGATACGTAGTAATGCAACCTTTCACACTATTTAATGAGGCAGAACAATTCATCTTAGATCTGAATTCCACTTGAATTTCCTTGAATTTGGCATTAGTAAACTCACTTTGGAATTGCTTCTCAATGGACGAGTTTGACCCACATGGAATTATTGTGTCCATTGAATTAAAATCAGCTTCAAATTCCTTTTCTGCCCGACTTCTAAGAGCATTATCATATTGTTTCATAAACTGATTTAGACTTGTTGTAGAATTGATATATCCATCAAAGAAAGCATGTATGCTCTCACTACATTGCGTAGTTGACATACTGACCCAAAAATATTTCCTTAACAACGTTGGTGCCCATCTATGACGCTCAGTATACAACCCACCCAACCAATCATTTTCATGGAGGTCAAATTTTTCTATGAACGAACACCATTTTTGTTCAAAGATATCTGTTGTGAATGCATCATACACTGCTTCTTTCATTGCATACTTGATCCTTTTAACTTCCCCATATCCGCTAAGCTTTTCTGGAACTTTTTTCATTATATGCCATAAACACCACCTATGACGAGTTGTAGGGAATACTAACTCAATAGCATTTTTCATAGCCTTACACTGATTGGTTACAATGCCCAAAGGTCCTTTTTCATGCATACAACAAAGCCATGACTTGAATAGCCACACAAAAGAATCTGTGTCTTCACTCGATAGCAATCCACAACCAAGTAATGTTGATTGACCATGGTGATTCACACCCACAAATGCGGCAAAAGGCATGTCATACTTGTTAGTTAAGTATGTTGTGTCAAAAGTTACAACGTCTCCAAAGTATTCGTACGCGGCCCTGCTTCTTGCATTCGCACAAAATACATTTCTCACATGAAAATCATCATCTAGATCTATGTCATAAAAGAAATTTGTATTCTGTTCCCGCATTTTACAAAAATAACTTATCAAAGCCTTACCATCACCTTTTTTTCCAATCGCACGACGCTCTTTGTTAATATAATTCCTCACATCTTTTTCACAAAAGGGAATATTTTCATGCCCTCTTGCATCTTTAACAAGCGATTTAAAAGTCTTGTTGATCCTTACTCCCGCATCATCATTAATTTGAATTGTTCTTCTTACATGTAAGTTCATTTTCTTGTTAGCCTTGAACGATCTTACTTTTGTAGGACTAGTCTCATGAGAATGGTTTTCTTCAAATTGTGTAATGTACCACAAACCATCTTGTTTTAATTTAATACAAATCTTGGCAGGACAATTTTTCGCTCTAGATGGAAGTGTCTTCAACGTGCATGAAATTTTTGAAATGTTAGACCCCTCTCTTGAACATGAAAGTATCAGGTAATGGAGCTCCCTGTCGTCTCCTTTTTTCGATGATCTAATCCTCCATCCAAACCCCTTTTTCAAAGCATACTCTTGATAATATGTTTTAACTTCCTCTAAACATGAAAAACACATCCCAATTACAGGAGCCCAAAGTGATTCATCACCATCGCCGTGATCAACTTCTACATCTTCCCTTTGATTACTATCACCTTCTATCAAAATGATTGAACTGTCCATTATGACTTAAAAACTGCACATAAATGTCAATATTATGTATAATAGAATTTTATAACAATGTTGGTTAATATAGTTCAAAGTTATGATTAATATTATCTATAACTTGGTTAATGAACGTCCAGGCATGTGGGAAGGTTTATAACATTGTTTATTATGAAGTTGGTTAATGGTGTGACAGAAGTTGGGTAATAAACTTCTCAAATTGGTTAACAAACCAATATCAGTAAATATATGCAATCGTTTAGCAGTAGGTAAACATGGTTAATGGTGTGAGTAAAGTAGGACAATATTTTTTAGAATATGGTTAATGAATAGTCGTGAATAAACATGACATCAATAACAATAAAGAAAACTAGGTTAACATTGTGTTAAATCTAAAAACATTTGAACAATCATGAATCTAGAAACTTACTGAGTTAAATCTTCATCTTCATAACTTAATGATGTTAAATAAAGAAAAGATGAAGATGAAGATGAAGATGAAAAGAAAAGTTGTAGATGAAATGAAGAGACATGTTGGAGAAGAAAGGAAATGTCGTGAATAATCAAGAAGAAGAATGAGGTTAAGAGAGAGAAACAATAAATCTATTCCATTGACATTTCTGTTGTGGGCCAGGGTGCAATACATTGTGTTGTTATTATTTTAATATATTTGGCATGCACTGTTCATACGGTGTAGGTGTACACACCAGTGTAAGAATAGCAAAACTGAAATGTGAATTGGGAAGAAGAAGTGAAAAGTGAAAGTGGAAAGAGAAAGTGTTGTATAGAATACACGTGGAGAATAAAAGTTAGAGTGAAAAAATAAAAAATAATTGGTAGGGTGGAGAATAAAAGTTAGAGTGAAAAAATAAAAAATAATTGGTAGGGTGCAGAACTTTACGCGGGAGGGGAAAGAAAACGAGTGGAAGGAATAGGAAATTGTCTCATTAAATGTGTGTTTGTTGTAAGAGAAATTCAAGCGAGAGAAGTAGGAGCCACAAAATAAGTGAAAATTGGAATGCAATGTCTTTTTGAATAATTGGAATACTCATGTATTAATTTTTTTTTAATATTTTAGTTATCTTTTTTTATTAAATTAATATTTAAAATTTTATAGGTATTTCAACTAAATCAAACAACATTTATATATTTTAATACCTATATATTTTTTATTAATATAATATATTTTATTAATTTATTATTCGTTGATATTTAGTTATTTTAATTTATTATTTGTATTTGTGGTAAATATAATAAAGAGAGTTTTACTAAGAATAGGACTTTTTGTGCTTAATCTACAAAAGGTGAATATCCCTCTTTGGCCCTATGGTTAGAGTATTTATAAACTCTAAACCTATGGGTAAATTAGTTACCTCGTCTGCTTAGGCATTGGGTTGAAATGTCAGAATAAGAAAATCATTACTCCTACTTAGTATGGGAAGCAATTAATTTTATGAAACATTAATGAGGCGTGTTATTTTACCTCATACGTGACATAACACGTCACCCATGATATATGAGTTGAGTAAACTAATTCAGATCGGGTGTTCAGTGTCCTATAACTGTTGCATTAGGTCTGAGGAGCACATTCATTCAACCAAAATTATCATAGTTCACACTCTCTCAAGCACGAGGCTTGAAGGATCAAAATGCTTACTTTAAAACATCATGGTTTCATAATCTTTTTGTTGAACGGGAAATTGTTTCAAATAAGGAAACATTATATCATGTCGGTGAGGCTTGGTAGGGCGAGTCCCTTAAGCAAAGACTTGAAAGGAGGGTCCACCAAACGAGGCCTTGAAGGGTAAGTCTCTCAAGAAAATACTTGAAGGAAGAGTCTCTCAAAAGAAGCAAAAAGGGTCTGGTGTTTGGATTTCCAAAAGCAAGTGGTCCATTTTATGTTGTGTGATGAAGTTGTCTTAGGAAGGCACAAACGACTTTGACTGTTAATGAATTTGAATTTCAAGGTCGTGAGTCATTGATATTTTTTCGCTTTAGGAGTATGTGCATGCCTATTGTATGTCTATGAAAATGACCTACTCGCCCTAGATGCTCGACTCTATAAATAGTTTAATCTCGTTTTCTCTCCTATTTTATCCTCTATACATTTTTGGTGCTCTTTAAGGAATTGCTCCCAAGTTCATCTTAATCTTAACATCAACTCACATAGCTCATGTATTAAATCTAACCACCCTTTCTATTATACCTTTCCTTTTTTTTTATCAAATTGTAATCATTTGGGAGTTAGATGAAAACAACTATGTCATAGAATCTAGTAATCACGATGAAATTTTAGTATGTGGGGGCATTATGTAGAAAATTATGAACAACCAAATGGGAAGGCTTATTACATACTTATAAAGGCATGAATATTTGGCAGCTACGATTCTACAAGTTTTGATTCTAGTAGTCATAATGACAGTGATTCTATTTTTCCATATTATTTCTCTAGATAAGCATGTATGTCAATGATGCCTAGTACTTCAAAATATGGGGGTGTTGAAGAGTTCTAAACTCCCGTAAGATTGAAGATACAACGACCTTCTTTTGTAAGGGTATAAATTTATCTGGTATGAGTGATGAAGGAGATATGGCAATGGAACCATGTACTTAAGATGACGAAGCCAGTATGACGACATCTCCTGACTTGAAAATTGAGTTTTCCTATAAGTACCTCCATGTTCTGTATGACCTAAGGGAATTGTTCAAACTACAGTAAAGTGGCAAGAAGAAACAAATTTAGTTTTGGAAGGATCCCCTCCGGGATTTATACCATATCCACAAAGATCGGTGCAAGGGAAAGAATGTCGTTCAATGATCTCTTTATTTCTAAGCTTGTGGAAAAATATAAAAATGGAAAAATATAAAAACAGAAAATATAATGTAAATACTTTAAAATAAACGGAGCCTTGTTAGGATTGGATCTCATCAATTGATAACACATATATTCTTCTAACCAATTAAAAACAGATCAATCATTCATCTGATATCCTCAGTATCACCCATAACAGAGGTTATGTCTAACGCAACATCGAGAGAACAACCATATTGTCTCATTGGTATGTCTCACGCAACTAAAAAATACAAAGCATTAAGAACTGATACTCACATAAATGTTAAGGCTAAATCTATTATAGACTCTAGAACCTAACAGATATTCATCCTATATCTAGATATAAAGAGTATATTTTTATAACGGTTTAAATCAAAGATAAAAAGGTAAACAAAGATAACATCCATACCAGATCCATGATTGATTCATATAAAATGCTGTGATCAGAATACATACATGCGTTTAACCCTTTTTACATGGATTCAACTAATTTGCCAAATGTATATGAACATAATATCTCATCTCTATTATCATGCATTCTCACATTACTGTATTGATCGCTACTGTAACACCCCAAATTTTATTGGAATATTTTATTTAATTATTTAAATAAGAATATTCATTTTTCGGTGATTTTCGGTGGTTTTGTGGATTATTGGGAATTATGCATTTTTGGAGTATTTATTTAATTAATAATATATAATATGAAATTATTAATATTATTATTAATTAAAATAAATATAATTTGGATAAGGGCAATTTAGGCAATTAAGAGGAGTTAGTGAGGGTATTATGGGAAAAACCCAATTTTGAGGCCCAAGACTAGGTTTAACAAAAAGGAAATTGTGAAGAATTAGAATTCATTTTGTTAACCGTGAAAAAAATTGAGGCCAGAGCTCTGAGGAGGGAGAATTGGAGGCAAAAGCTTTGAAAGGTTCCCAGAAAGATTTGAGAAGGCTTTGATCGACATTTAAGGTATGAGGAGTATTGCCTTTCATGATTTTCCATGTGTAGATTCAACGTATTTAAGGTCAATTTGAGGTTTAGGGGTTTTGAGGGTGGATATGAGAAATAATGATCTTTTCCCTTCATGGCCTAAACCTATTATTAGTGAATCTAACCGTGGTTCGTTAGGGTAATGGAAACCTTAGGCCTTCGTGGCCAAAACTATAATTTGAACCTGTCTAACCCTGAAGGGATAGGAATATTTGATAGCAAGTAACACTGATGCCTTTAGGGAAATTGTAAGGAAATTTGTAATTTAGGGCGTGAAATTGATACGAGATTGGCCTAATGAACCGTAGGTTTTGTGCCTTTATCGCCGTAAGACCTTAGGGATGATTTAGGAATGTTTTGGGAGCCTTGGGGAAGTGAATCGTGTAGACTTTTGGGTGGGATTAAGTTCTGGTGCGTAGCAGAATTTGCTGTCATCGCACAGTCCGCCTAGCGAAGAATGCTTCGCCTAGTGAACAATGTTGTTCCTAGACTCGCCTAGCGAAGAATCCTCTGCACAGTGAAGAAACTTGCCCCAGACTCGCCTAGCGAACTTGCCAGCGAACGTAGCAGAGTTTCGCAAATATTGATCGTGTGCAGTGATGCTTTGATGTTTGATTCTGTGATTTCTTTGATGAATTAACATGAGTAGTATTGTGAAGTTTAGGTGATTAATAGCCGATAGTATGAGGAGTACCGCGAGTATATTTATGAATTAATATGTGATAATATGATGAATTAATATGAGTATGACTGTGAGTGCTATGTGATTTGTACATGATTATTATAATGAGCTATTATGACATGATGTATGATGATGATTATTATGATGATCTATGATGACATGATGTATGATGATGATTATTATGATGAGTTATGATGACATGATGTATGATGATGATTATTATGATGAGCTATGATGACATGATGTATGATGATGAGCTATGGAGTTTGATGATGATTATTATGATGAGCTATGATGACATGATGTATGATGATGAGCTATGGAGTTTGATGATGCACCTATGTTGTTATTATGAGGATGATTTTCGATATGTGCATCATGCATTCATGTGCATCCGGACTTCGGTTCAGGACCTTGATTTCTTTGGCTTCAATTCAACTGTGCGGATGTGAAGTATGTTGATGTGCTACAGTTCTCTAGTAGAACTGATCCTATTGATGGGTATCT